CCCCCCCCCCCAGGTTGAAGATTTTTTCAACCCGGGATAGGCGGGGGCTCCGACCCATGTGCGGTGTGATTACAGCAACAGTCAACAGTTAGTTGCAGATCCTATGCTACACACACAGCAATTGATACGCACACAGCTTCTGTGAGTACAAACGTGTGCACCAGCACCAGAAGTACAGTAGATAAAGTCTCCTCTGCAGGTGCTTTCATGGGTAGTCGTGGAACTCGTACGCTCACAAATGGAGGTGACAGCAGATGGATCTCTTACGCGTGATCTGCTGGGTTGACGTCACTCACCCGTTGGCTGCCGCAGCTACATACAGATGCACACACAGGGAGAGATGCACACACACAGCTCTGTCAGCTACAAACGTGTGCACCTCCATCAGCAGTACCTGTGAATATGTGTGCCTATGATGCGTGGTCGTACGTGCGAGCCGTTGCACGCTATACTGCTGTGCATGTAGTCACACAGCAGTCTACTGCTGTTTGTTGGCCATGGTTTGGCTAGTCCACCGCACGTGTAGTCGTATGCTAGGTCAAACTACCCCCCCCTCGAGCCAGCGCGTGGTTTGCTGGGTTCACCACACGGGTGGTATGCTTGGTCCACCGCACGCGTTGTCTGCTGGGTCACCATACGAGTGCCGGGGGGGGGTAAACCCCCCCTCGGACCCCCCCCCTCGAGCCAGCGCGTGGTCTGCTAAGTCGTAATATATGTACTGTATTTTTAACAAAGGAGTTTTGTTATTAGAGGAAAGCTCCCATATTTTTGGTGGGTGCTAAAGAGCACACCCGTGTACCGGGCCGGTTTTTAAGCGCAGATGGGAATGAAGCACTCACACTTTAAGTTATGCCCTGAAAGGTCTCTGTGTGCCCCAAGCCCCAGCAAAGTCCGCCATACCTCCCTCCACGGCGTTGTGCCCCTGTCCCGAACCGCGCCTCAGACAATGCATTGTGTCCCCCCTTCGCGATCCGTAGCACCCGAAACGAGCGGTGTTGTATAGATGACCCGCGTGCGTTGGCCGTGTTCCCCCGCGCGCGGCCGCGGACTCTAGATACCACCTCGTTCCGCACTCACGGCTGCATCTAGGTGACGTAAGATATCACACCCCCCGGGCCGATTTTAAAGCTTCGTAGTCGACGACGACGACGGATCGACAAACCGAACGATTGTACGTTTTCGGAAGCTCCGGACGAGGCGTATTATCCGACGCCGCCATTTTTTGACACTTCCACTCTCTCGTGTATAGCGTTAATATCGGTCCAGGGGATGCGTTATCTTGCGTCACCTACTGCGGTATTTTATCTCTCGTTCAACGTGGAGCACTCAACGTTTTCTGCCTTCGCCTCTCCCGCAACCGACGCCCCTGCCTCATACAGTGGGGATGAAGCCTTTAGACTCACTCCCGTCCTTTGCCGACTACAACACAACTCAGGCCTCGGTGTGCCCGCCCCATACGTGGGAAGCAAGCCTGTAGACTCGTTGACTTCCGTTGTCGAAAAACACATCCCACGTTTCCAGCCAGCCAGCCTGTGGCGCGAGCTTGTGTCGTTAATGCGCCCATGCAGTGGGAAAATAACCTCTAAGATCCTTTCCCTTCCTTTACCGAAAACACAACGTCAGGTATCGATGTGCCCGCCCCATTTAGTCGGAAGCCTTGAGACTCCTTCCCTTGCTTTGCCGAAAACACAACTCAGGTTGCCAGCCAGCCGGTGGCTCGCGCTTGTGTCGGGACTGCGTCTGAGGTTAGGGTGGTCACGTCGGCGCCGGGAAAAGTAATTATGTTCGGGGAGCACGCGGTGGTGTACGGGAAAACCGCAGTTGGGGCGGCCGTGTCGGACCTGCGCGTCGTCGTAATGGCGGTGAGATTTTGATTTTTCAACGGAGGAATTTGCTGCCGTTTGTTGTTGTCGTTTGTGGTGTTGGTGTTGTTGTTTTCTGTTCGTCATTATCGTCGTCAATGTTGTCGTCATTGCCGTCCGTATCGCTGCTGGTGGTGCTGTGCGCGCGCGCGTTCATGTCTCGGGTGTTGTTTCCGCTGCTGCTGCTTCTTTCTGCTGACGCTGCCGGTGTCTACTCGTGATAGGTTGTTCTGCTGTTTCAAGTACGCGTGACTGCCACCTCTCCCTCCCTCCGCCAATGGTTCCCTCACGCAGCAACATCGTGGGTTGGTTTCTCGGCGATACACTCGCGTCGTAGAATAGCGTACTCTTATATGTCCCCCGCAAAGGCTCTTCATGCCTGTGTCACTCATTTGCCGCAACCCCCCCCTTCCCCCGGCGCGCCTTCTCCACGCCCCCTCGCTCCGTATAGAGCACCACCGTGGAGCCTGAGCTGGTGCTAGAGCTGCCCGATCTTGACGTGAGCTTCCGGAGAACAACGCTGGAGTTGTCGGACGCGTTCGGCTTCTCCCTAGCGGTCGGTAAGTGTGTAGCTTGGCCGTAGACTCGCTTGTAACAATCTGGGGGGGAAGGAAAGAGCGGTTGGCGGCTCATGTATGATGCATGTGCATACGTTTGTTTTTCTCTTCGTCTGGCGAAAGGTCCTGTCTGTCTTGTCTGTGTTGCCGACCAACGAAGGACGTGTTTTTGCTCGCGTTGCTCGCGCGAGGGCGTCTTTGCAGGCTCTCGCTTGGCGGGCCGTGCCCTCCGAGTCGATGCCAGCTCCGCATGGCGTTGGAAGAGTCGGCCGATACGACACGCTTGTACCATCCGCCATGTCCTTGAGCATGTATTGTTGTTTTACGCCGCGGCGTTGCGTTTGTGCTCGGGGTCGTGCTGTACGATATCCATCGCTGTGGATTGTTTCAGAAAGGGGTAGTTTTTTTATCCAGCCGGCATGAATCGGGGTTGCTCGACGCGTTTCGGATGCTGTGCCTACGAGGACGAGTCACAATGCCATATGTAGGGTCCGATGGAACGGCACGCAGCGTGAAATGGCTCTCGGGATAATATTTAGGATGTGGTGCAAACAGTTACCTTGGCAGAAGTAAATGGCCCGGTTGTGTATCGCACGCATGAAAGAGACATTTGTGTTTGCATATTTTATTTCGCGCTGTAACTTGTGTCTACCGTCCTTTTCGCCCCGTGTTCACACGTCGAATGATTTTGCGCAGCCCCCAGAGCGAAGCCGACGCCTCCCGGCCCGGCCCACCTGGACCTAATCTCCGCCTTCGTGGGCGACGGAGGGCGGTCGAAGGACGGGAAGAAGGCTCTCGTATCGCTTGTGTTCCTGGCGCTCGCGATTGTCCCCGAGATTTTCCTCGGAAAAGCTGGGTGAGACGTGAATTTTTTTGCAGTGGTGTGTCGACGCCGGAAGCCCCGCGGTACTCCCACCCACCGCTTTGTGTTGTTGCCCGCTCGTTGCTGTTGAATGCGCGATGAAAGCCTAATCAATCTCCATCTCGAAACGTCATGCACGCTTCGTCCTGCTCCTCGTCTTTCCAAGCACTTGACAACATCCCGCGGTGACACGCACAAGGGTACTCGGGTTCGCAACGTGCAGCGCGACGCTCGGCGGCCTCGAGCGCTACACGCCATGCATCCCCCACACTCGACGTCGACCTTCCTGCCTATTGTAGAAATGTGGGTCCAGAAATCAATTTGCCTGATGGACCGCTTGTAAATCAACGAGGAGGCACCAACGCCCGCCTCGAAAAACAAGCACACCATCCTGCGCATCGCAACCCTAACCATTATCCTAACCCTAACGTATGCACTCTTCCCCACACAAATACGCCATCATCCCGCGCGCCGCTGTTTTTTTTTCTCGTGTATGAGTCACAGGGCCGGGGCCCGGGGGCTATCCTTGAGGGCGTTTAGCGCTTCCCTCCCGGTAGGGGCGGGCCTGGGGTCTTCGGCCGCTCTCTGCGTAGCCACCTCGGCTGCCCTCACGCGGCTNGGGGGGGGGGGGGGGGGGGGGGGGGGGGGGGGGGGGGGGGGGGGGTGATTCGCGGCGACCGTCGGCTTCCGAGCTCGAGCGGATCAACGCGTGGGCGTTCGCCGGGGAGACGGTGCTGCACGGAACCCCCTCGGGGCTCGACAACACGGTCAGCTGCTACGGCGGGGCGATAAAGTTCGTGAAGGGCATGGATGGCGCCGCGAACACGACGGAGGTGAGAGGGGGTTTTCCGCACGTGGTTTCTTGGGGGTGTGGGGAGGGCTTGGCGAGAGAGAGAGAGAGAGAGAGAGAGAGAGAGAGAGAGAGAGAGAGAGAGAGAG